ATTTTGGGGTCAGAATTCCCGATCCCAATCCCACCTTGGCGATGATGACGTCCTTGCGCAGGATTTTCATGGCGTAGTACCGTCCCGACGCCTTTTCCCGCACCAGGATCACCTTCCCGAAGGTTCCCTTTCCCAGCAGCTTCAGGTAATCGAAGTCGTTCATGGTCTGGGGTGAAAAAGGGCGGATTTGGGGTCGGGAACGGGAATTTTCAGGGAAAAGGGCGGATTTGGGGCCGGGAACGGGAATTTCCAGGGAAAAGGGGCAGTTTTGGGGCCAGGAATGGGGATTTTCAGGGAAAAGGGGCAGTTTTGGGGCCAGGAACGAGGATTTTCAGGGAAAAGGGGCAGTTTTGGGGTCAGGAACGGGGATTTTCAGGGAAAAGGGAGGTTTTGGGGTCAGGAACGGGGATTTCCAGGGAAAAGGGAGGTTTTGGGGCCAGGAATGAGGATTTTCAGGGAAAAGGGGCAGTTTTGGGGTCAGGAACGGGGATTTGGGGTAAAAGGGACAGGTTTGGGGCTGGGAATGGGGATTTTCTGGGGTAAAAGAGGCGATTTTGGGGCTGGGAACAAGGATTTCCAGGGAAAAGGGAGGTTTTGGGCTGGGAATGGAGATTTTCCATGGAAAAGGGGCGGTTTTGGAGCTGGGAACGGGAATTTTCAGGGGAAAGAGATGGTTTTAGGGCTGAGAATGGGGATTTTCAGGAGAAAGGGGCAGTTTTGAGGTTGGGAACAGGGATTTTTTGGGGTAAAAGGGTGTTTTTGGGGTTTTGCAAGCACTCACAGCCTTGGTGCAGGATTTGCCCAGGGCTAGGGTTAGGGTTAGGGTTTAGGGTTAGGTTTAGGTTTAGGATTAGGGGTTTTTGGGGTTTTCCAGGCACTCACAACCTTGGTGCGGGATTTGCCCAGGGTTAGATTTAGGTTTAGGGTTAGGATTAGGTGTTTTTGGGTTTTTCATGCACTCACAGCCTTGGTTCGGGATTTGCCCACGGCCACGTCCGTCTCCTCACTCCCCAGGGTTAGGGTTAGGGTTAGGTGTATTTGGGTTTTTCAGGCACTCACAGCTTTGGTGCGGGATTTGGGTTAGGGTTAGGGTTAGTTTTAGGTTAGATTTAGGGATTTTTGGGATTTTCAGTCGCTCACAGCTTTGGTTCGGGATTTGCCCACGGCCACGTCCGTCTCCTCACTCCCCAGGATTAGGGTTAGGGTTAGGGTTAGGGTTAGTTTTAGGTTAGATTTAGGGATTTTTGGGATTTTTCATGCACTCACAGCTTTGGTTCGGGATTTGCCCACGGCCACGTCCGTCTCCTCACTCCCCAGGGTTAGGGTTAGGTTTAGGATTAGGATTAGGTGTTTTTGGGTTTTTCTCACAGCCTTGGTTCGGGATTTGCCCACGGCCACGTCCGTCTCCTCACTCCCCAGGATTAGGGTTAGGTTTAGGGTTAGGTTTAGGTGTTTTTGGGATTTTTCAGGCACTCACAGCTTTGGTTCGGGATTTGCCCACGGCCGTGTCCGTCTCCTCACTCCCCAGGGTTAGGGTTAGGGTTTAGGGTTAGTTTTAGGGTTAGATTTAGGGATTTTTTGGGTTTTTCAGGCACTCACAGCTTTGGTTCGGGATTTGGGTTAGGTTTATGGTTAGTTTTAGGGTTTGATTTAGGGGTTTTTGGGATTTTTCATGCACTCACAGCTTTGGTTCGGGATTTGCCCACGGCCACGTCCGTCTCCTCACTCCCCAGGGTTAGGGTTAGTTTTAGGATTAGGATTAGGGATTTTTTGGGATTTTTGGGTTTTTCTCACAGCTTTGGTTCGGGATTTGCCCACGGCCGCGTCCGTCTCCTCACTCCCCAGGGCTCCGCTCTGCAGCTCCATCGCCTCCGACAGCGGCTCCCGAACCTTGAGACTGTGGGCAACGGCCTGGATGGCCTGGATCCACTCCTCGCTGGGGGATTGGGATTGGGATTGGGATTGAGATCAATCCTACACAGGGATCCACTCCTCACTGTGGGATTGGGATTGGGAAAATGGGATTGGGATCAATCCTACACAGGGATCCATTCCTCACTGGGGAAAATGGGATTGGGATTGGGAAAATGGGATTGGGATCAATCCCACACAGGGATCCATTCCTCACTGTGGGATTGGGATTGGGATCAATCCTACACAGGGATATCACACAGGGATCCATTCCTCACTGGGAAAATGGGATTGGGAAAAACGGGATTGGGATCAATCCCACACAGGGATACACTCCTCACTGTGGGATTGGGATTGGGAAAAATGGGATTGGGATTGGGATCGATCCCACACAGGGATCCATTCCTCACTGTGGGATTGGGATTGGGATTGGGATTGGGAAAATGGGATTGGGATTGGGATTGGGATCGATCCCGGACAGGGATATCACACAGGGATCCACTCCTCACTGTGGGAAATGGGATTGGGATTGGGAAAAAGGGGATTGGGATTGATCCCACACAGGGATCTACTCCTCACTGGGGAAAATGGGATTGGGAGAAAGGGGATTGGGATTGGGATTGATCCCGGACAAAGATATCACACAGGGATCCATTCCTCACTGGGAGAAATGGGATTGGGAAAAAGGGAATTGGGATTGGGAAAAATGGGAATGGGATTGGGATCAATCCCACACAGGGATCCATTCCTCACTGGGAAAACGGGATTGGGAAAATGGGAATTGGGATTGGGATCGATCCCGGACAGGGATATCACACAGGGATCCATTCCTCACTGGGGAAAAATGGGATTGGGATTGGGAAAAAGGGAATTGGCATTGATCCCACACAGGGATCCACTCCTCGCTGCGGGATTGGGATTGGGAAAAGGGGATTTGGATTGATCCTGGACAGGGATCCACTCATCCTTGCAGGGAGGATTCGGGGTCTGATTTCCCAGGATTTGGGGTCTCTCTCCCCTGATTTCCCCGGGGCTTTTGGGGTCTCTCCCCCAGGATTTGGGGTCTCTCTCCCAGGATTTGGGGTCCCATTTCCCAGGATTTGGGGTCCCTTTTCCCAATTTGGGGATTTGGGGTGTGATTTCCCAGGATTTGGGGATTTGGGGTCCCTGTCCCTCGTCCCCACCGCTCCTCGGGGCTGTCCACGTGGAAGGATTTGGGGTCCCTTTTCCCAGGATTTGGGGTCTCTCTCCCAGGATTTGGGGTCTCTCCCCCAGGATTTGGGGTCCCTGTCCCTCGTCCCCACCGCTCCTCGGGGCTGTCCACATGGAAAGTCCTCTCGATCACCGTCGTCCACTGCAGACAGCGAATGATGAAAGTGTTGGGACGCGGCCGCTCCGACTTCATCAGCTGGCACTCTGCGGGAATTTGGGGAGAAAACATGGGAAATTGGGAAAAAACTGCGGGAATTTGGGAAAAACATGGGAAATTGGGAAAAAACTGCGGGAATTTGGGGAGAAAACATGGGAAATTGGGAAAAAACTGCGGGAATTTGGGAAAAACATGGGAAATTGGGGAGAAAACACAGGAAATTGGGTAAAACCATGGGAAATTGGGGAGAAAACACGGGAAATTGGGAGAAAACTGCGGGAAATTGGGAGAAAACATGGGAAATTGGGGGGAAAACGGTGGGAAACTGGGGAGAAACTGCAGGAAATCAGGAACAGAGAGCGGGAGAAACCACAGGAAATTGGGATTGGGGATTGGGGGAGAAACCGTGGGAATTCAAGGAGAATCCATGGGAAATTGGGGAGAAACTTCAGGAAAAACTGCAGGGCAGAAGGGCAAAATTCGGGGAGAAACCACGGGAAATCGGGATTGGGGAGAAACCGGGAATTCAGGGAGAAACCGAGGGAAACCGGGGAGAAAGCGCAGGAAATTGGGAACAGTGGGAAGAGGACGGGAGAACGGTGGGAATTCAGGAATGGGAGAAACTGTGGGAAATTGGGGACAAACTGCAGGAAATCGGGGTCGGGGATCAGGGGAGAAACTGCGGGAAATTGAGGAGAAACCGCAGGAAATGGGGATCGGGAAAATCCGCAGGAAATTGGGAACAGTGGGAACAGGACAGGAGAACCGTGGGAATTGAGGAATGGGAGAAACTGTGGGAAATTGGGGACAAACTGCAGGAAATGGGGAACGGGGATTGGGGACAAACTGCAGGAAATCGGGATTTCCTAATGGGGGAGAAACTGCGGGAATTTGAGGAGAAACCGCGGGAAATCGGGAAAAAACACAGGAAATTGGGAACAGTGGGAAGAGGATGGGAAAACAGTGGGAATTTGGGAATGGGATGCAGCCCCAGAGCCCCCAGACCCCGCACCGGCCACGGAGAAGTTGTTGAGCGGGGGCAGCGCCGGCTCCGGCCCCTCCGGCCGCTCTTTGTARCCGATGAAGGATCCGTCGCTCTTGAGGAGAAAATAACGGGGACGCCACGTCTTGATGTACTCACCTGGGGGAAAAAGGGTTAA